AGAAAAGAGCAATAGCATTCCATTCCCACAGCACTTTACTAAGTAATCTATTAGTCCATGTTGTCCTTGGATGGAACAAATCATTAATTTTAACAGAGTTATAATTCTATACTCCGACTACAGATCCATATAAAGATTTAGCCTATAGTTCTCTCTCCAGTTTAATAAAGTTGGCTGGGAGCTCTACAAACTTTGAACTTCCGTTGATAGAAGTAAATATTATTAGAAAAAAAAATGTGCAAAAAGATTGTTTTATTAATTAACATAAGCAAAATTTCCTTTGGCTTCAGGGGAAAGGTTAATGAAGCTAGTGTCACAGACACACTAGAGTTCACATTCACCTACATTCAATATCTAAAACTGAGGACCAGATAATAAACATAAGCTTATAGAAGTATAAGTAAGCATAAAAGGAGTTTCCTGTTGAATATATGAGTGTTTGTCACGCAAATCCTTGGATAAAAGCAATAAAAGAGTCTGTTGACAGAGAGATCAACCTCAAGAGCTAAACTTAAAATTAATGCTGAATGAAACAAAGTTTGTGCTCAAGAAGCATGCCACAGAAAAACTGGGCAAAACAAGCAGGGACGCCACAGAAAAAGAAAAGAGCTCATCAACATTGCGCAGCTGCTCAGGTAAGGTCTAGCAAGCAACAGGAAAGAAGTACGCGGTACTAGAATACTGGTACACATTTGCTGAATGGAGGCATTAACACATGCCAACAAATGTCACAATAAAACAAACAGTAGACAACGGTCTATCAAAGAGTATCAGTTGGCACAGCAAATGATAAATGCAAAGAAACACAGCTATTTTCATACTGTATCTCAAATACTGGAGGAATTTAAATAATAGAAATACTAACAGTGCACATTAAATAAATGAGGTCTTCTCTGTAAAGTAAGAAGTATATAAAAGAAAGTATTGCTGGAGATGGAGAGCTGGCTTATACAAGTTAGAAGTTTTCTTGCCCCTATTTAAGAACACACAAAACTTCAAAATAACATCTTCCATTATTATACCAGGTAAGATACAATGACTATTTATTTTCAAATGTTCTCTAGAGAAATTTTTTTTGCCTCTTATTCCTTGAGATGTGTGTTTAAGTCTGTATGTTTTAAATTGTCCATACTCTCGAAAGTGGCAATTAGAACACATTTTCATTTCAAGACACAGTATAAGATCCAAGCAACTAATGAGCTCATGTATTGATGCAGCAATCTGTCATCCTGCAGCGAAGGATTAAAAGGTCATGTTATAATAGCAGCTTTTTGTCTTTCATACAGAGTGGTTAACAATAAAAAAGTTTGTTTTCAATTTCATAAAAGTAGTAAACAAAAAATACCATCAAATTTCATTTTTCACATGGGCACTTTTTTCACTGCTAAAATCAGAATTAAATAAGAATTTAAAAACCCAAGTTAACAGAACAAATGAGTTAGATAGGTATTTTTATTTTATTTCTGATCAAATACAATTTCTTTAGTCCTGAAAAAGCATTAAAATTTTATTTGCACATCTGTAACATAAGTGACAGAGGAGCTTCACTTACACACTGTTTATAAGGTAAAGGGGAAACCTTTACTCTTTAGCTTTCTATTTACAAGACCCAGCTGCGGGAGACCCAGGTTTACTTCCCTTTCACATCCAAGACAACTTGAATCCATACCATCCTCTTCTCAGGAGATGGCCCATAATTACCATACTGTAGTTATTAGGGGGTGTTTTCACAGAAAGCTCTTCTGTGAAGTTTTCCCTCTTTATATAAAATAATATGATATTAATAGGAGCAGGGACTGAGCCCCAAGTGAATTCCTTGATGACAAGCCTACAGCCATACATACAGTCATTCTGTTCCCAGTTTACCCCTCCCCACCAGCTTCCTCCCCTCAGGTGTACAAGTTTGGCCCTCCAGATTATTAAAAACAAACTTTGGTGGGAATTTATGTATGTATGAAATTGCCTGTTTTTTTGACAAATGATTTTAAAACATGAAATGTGTTTTCAACTAAAAATGTACAGGTTTTCCATGTCACTTTTGTGAAAAAACATCCTGCTTTTCTGAAAGAATGGAAACGATCAAGTCACATACATCATGTTTGATACTGGGAAGGTATGTGGCAGTGTTCATCATTCCTTATCAGGAAAAGTTAAAAGATTTTTGTGTACTAGATCCACAAATTTTAAATATCAAGCTGGTCCTTCAAAAAAAAAAAAAATAGAATCAGGAGATTCTGAACATTATGTATTATAACTGAAGAAAAAATGCTTTCTTCAAACTCTCACAGCAAAGAGCAGGCATAAATTACCTATGTCCTTCTTATTCTCATTCAAATTTCCCATTAACTGCAGTGTCACCTCTTGGCAGAATTCAAACAGCGACTATGCAAAGATCTTCCTTTCCACTGCAAGAATAAGATCTGAGCAAAATTTCAGCTGTGGGGGGTTTCTGTTAGGACATTTGAAAAGCCTGTCCACATTGTATGCGTACTCTGTGTGAAAATACTGAAGTAAAGTTACCGTTTATTATTGCGCCAAGTTATATTTTATGACGGTATTCATGACCAAAGACCTAATAAATTCACAGGACTCCAAGCAACAGCTGACTAATTCTGGTCAGAGCAAATACAAACATGATAGCACTTAAAAGCAAACAAACAGAAATCAGTGAGCAGTTAGACAGCATCACGATTTTCCCTGACAGTATGTCAACAGAAGTTAAAAATTATAACCAACCGACATTCATTTCAGAAACAAAACCTTTTCTAATGGAAAAAACAGAATAATAGCAGAAAGAAGGTGAACATTCCTTGCTAAGATTTCAATGCTGAGAAAATAAACATGCTTGAAAGGCATCTGATGGCATTTGATTTGCCAACCACACTAATGTACCTTGCTAGCAGTACATTTCTATCACACCAGACAACACAGGAATATATGCATGGAAAGCAATGATGAAATTTTTAAGCTAGCATGTTGGGTAAAATGTGGGTCCTAATTAAGGCAGTGTCAAATGCCCATCAACTTGTAAATACCCAGGATTATATGCACATGGTGTAAAAAGACTTCCGTCTCTTGATGACCACTTCATCTCCAGCATAATATTCAGAAACAGCATTAAATGTACCCCAAATTCCATGGTTTATTGAACATAATTCTTGATTCTGTCATTACTAGCTTGGTCCTGTTACTGGTGCCTTTGATGTAACTGGTACAAGAGCAGTTAACTTTCATGGAGATCATTTTGTGTCTACCACCTTCGTGAGAAACTACTTCTCAGATGTTGTAATTATAAACTATAAGATAAAAATTCCACCAAAATTCAGAGATCAGCTGAAGTACATAACAACAAAAGGGATTTTTCTCAACGCTGAGTAATATTTGTGCTCCTATTTCTGTGCATTGTGATTTTTCATAGACCTTGAGTAAAAAGACCTAAAAGAAAAACACAGTGTTGAAACTGGAAGATATGCGATTTCAATTCATACCTTATGGTTTATATTCCCTTGCAAAGGATTCTGACCATATCCTTAGTGTAATCAATAGAAAGACAACTAAAATTTTCACAAACTCAGGGATCAGACTAAAAGTTTTGCTTCAGTCCCTAGACACTTAGATAAAACTACTGGTTATCTATAAAAATCCAATAGTCACTATAAAAACAGTCATCACCCAACTGATTGAAAAGTACAAACTATGTATAATGAAAATGAACAATTACTTTGGGCGTTCATCACTTCCATATGTTGTTCTTCTGTTCATCTTATAGATTTTTAAGTCAGAACATACCAATATGATCATTTATTTTGATCACCTACGAAGTGCACTGATTTCCTCATCAAGCCTATGACTTCTAGTGAACTACGTCACATTTGGAGAAAACAAACTAACATAGCTTTTCATTATGAAAATTTATCATCAAAAGATTCTATCACTGAAAGCTTTAATTTTAATGGAATTTTTACCAAGTAAATGAAACTTTACTTCTTAAGTCAGTTTCACCAGTTTTCTGTTTGTTGTCAGCCAAAAGCTAGGAGTTTTAATGCTGAACCCAAAAAAGCATGCAGCTCACAAATGTTTCCATCTGAACTGAGTGGAGTTCACAGTTCTCTAAAAGCATTACACGAATTAACAGTGAAGTAGTTCATGTAACTAAACCTACAACCAATAATGCGGACATTTATTCTACTAATACTACCAGGATCTACTTGTGCCATGGGCATACTGTGCCTGGAATCACTGAAGTATGAATGTGGTAAACAAAGATCAGTATCATCTATGCCCAACAGGACATTCAACAGGAGGATAAAAACCAGCAGATGTTGCACGGAACTGATTGTAGATAAAATGTGAAATATAACCTATGCTGACATAAGTGCTACTTTGTACAAATGCAACATGTACCATAATACTTCCAGTAAACACTTCTGCTCCCATCAGAGGTTTGAATAAGGAATCAGTGACCTAAAGCACTGAGTGCCTTGTAAAGGAAAGTTTTATACAGACATGAAAAGAGTCATCCTTTGATATTTGTTCTTTTTCATAAAGACTTAACATTCTTGCCATGAGACCAATCTGCTCAACAAGTTATAACATTAACCTTTGTAGCAATTTTCTTCAGCTGCTTTCAAAGTAGTCTCAAATTCAGATACATTTTTCACACACACTTAAAAATGAAACCAAAATGATATTGTCTGTTTTTCATCAATCAAAAAGAACCTCAAATTTACCACTGAAAACATCCCCCCCACACACACCCTGACAGCACTTCAAAAGACAACTATAATTCAGACTCATGGCATTGATGTACTTCAAATCTATGACTATGTACTATCAGACACAAGCTCAAACACTGGAGTTCTCATTGGCGGTGAACTCCGAAGATCAAATTATATGTTCAGACAACCATATTATTCCTCTATGGTTCCAGCCTTCTAAAATCTGAGAGTTCTGCTGTTAAAACACCCTCCCATAAACCTGAAGAAGGGTAAGTGACCTACCTTAGAAAGTCCGCCTACTTCCAAATAGAAGCAGATAATGAAAACGTTCCAGGTGACCCACAGGGCAGTCCACACCGTGTACTAAGCACAAAGCCAGATGAAAGCAAAAAGACAGAAAAATAAACTGTGAAGATGAAAGGACTTTATACTGAGCAGATCAATAACAAAAAGCCTGATATCAATAAGCATTGTTCTTCTGGGAGCAGCCAAGCACAGAGTTCAGAAAAGGAGTTCTCCCTGCAGAAGCCCCCTAAGAATCATAGGAAATTACAAATCCAATATTTGTTGCTGCTCTAAATACATGCCAATAAAGCAGATTTATTCTTTACAGTTTTACACTATCCTATTGATACCAATTAAGTCCAAAATGCTGACTTAGACACTGGTTTTGGGGTAACTATGAATCATTCATAAATCATGATTTAGCCCTGTTAAAGGAGATTCTAAAATAGCACAATAATTCAAATAAGCAAATATTATTAAATTAATATTTAAATATTATGAAGAATGACACAAGAAAAACACACCACCAAATAACTCAGAATATCTGTTGATCTGATAATTTGGATTTTTTTAACTAAAAACAAAAACAGATAAAGGGTAAATCTGATCTATTAAATATCTTTCAGTAAAAGGTATTTTAATTACATTAAAAATAGCTTACTGCTTCTTCAGCCCTTGTGGCCATGAACCTGATCTTACAACGCACCCTTAACAGGTGAACATATCCATATCTCTTCTGGGTTCTCCAATATGCTACCCTAGTGCAAGCCTGAACTCCTACTCCACCCACAGCATGAATGCGAGATTAATCTGTCTACCTTAAATCATCCTTTGCACTTTAACTGTCAACATAATTGACTTGCACCATTTCCTTAGAGATGCCCTGTTTACCTAGATATGTCAGTGAACCATGCCCAGTCAACTCTCCGAGCAGCACACCTCCAGAGCATTTCTGTCTGACTGGCTAAGGGCACGCTCAGCCATATAGGAATTACACCCACCTGAAAAATGCAATGAGCACCATTACTGCCACTTTACATTTATGTGCTTAGAACCTTCACAGCGGTGAAAAAAAGTGCCTTTGCAAGTCTAATTAGCTGTGATCAGGTGAGGCTAATACGCTATTGTTTTGCTTCAATATACTCAGTATAGCTCAACAGGCTAACTACTATCCGCTGGATCCCACTTCCATTGCACAGGTGCAGTCAGCTTGGCTTTCTTGGGCAGTTTTGGGCTGTGCTCCCCTCTTCCTTCCCTTCCCTATCATGTATAATGAAAGCTTCAGGTGAAGAGGATTGAATTTTTCCCCACTTTGATTACCTCCACATGCACACAGTCATTTCTGTACACCACAGGTTAGCTGCTTTAAATTAATTTCTTAGGAAGTACTTGGGCTGTTTGGAGATGGCTGTGACACAAGTAGTAGATCATTAATAAACAAAATGAGAGTAATGCTCTTGGCCTGTTTCCTCTGGCTTACAGAGAACAGCAGTGTGGCAACGGAAGGCTGGATTATTATAAAATAACACCAAGCTTATCACATCTGCTGACTTTGTAGTAACTCATCATAAACTCCTGATTTTCCAACGTATGTCCTCAGAACATCAGGTGCACAGTGTTCAAAATTAATGAACACTTAATACAAGCCCAGCTGCTCATAAAAAGCAGATTTCAGAATATTCAGGAAAATCCTGTTTTTTAAGAAAGATTTTTTTATTTGTCCATGAATGAAATCTGTCATCGCAACAAGAAACCTACTTGATCTGCCAGGCTAAGCCAAATCCGTGAATGGCCTCATCCTGTCCCATGGGCACCAATGTCAGCTCTGAACCATGCAGGTAAAAACTGTCCGAACGTGCTTTCCCAGGCCACCCCAGGCTGTTTTAGACAGTCAGAATCTGTTCACTCCCTTATCCACCGCGAGGATTACTGATAGGGAAATGCCGCTGCAAAGCAGATGTGCACCTTGAAACCCAGCTGCTGGGTATGGAGAGGCTCTTCCTACACTCTCACTGAACTGCAGAAACATAAATTTAGGCTCCATTTTCTTTAAGACCATAATAATTACCTATTTAAGTAATTAGTACTCCATAATTTTTAAAAGTAAGAAAGTTATTATCCACATTTCAAAACACATCTTTTGGTTATGGAAGTAACAGATTTTTAACTTGTATAGCATTGTAGGTACTTAAGGAAGACTACGTTAGAAGTTTTAACACCGCAAAAGCAAGTCAGCAAAACAAAGAAATGTCAGGATTCTGGTAATATACTCCATCTTATTTTTCTCTTTTGTGGATGTGCAATACAATGCAAACATTAATTATATCATCATAGGTATATTTTTATTTTAAAAGACCCTACCATACTCAGTATATTTTATGAGTAGCTAACTCAATACTTCATTTCTCTTTGTTGCTCAGACCCTGTTCTGAGGACAGAATATTAATTTCCTCATGCTGTTTTCTATGATGCTCATCGCTGCAACATCTGAGAGCTGCACAAACATTAACTAATTTATTTCATGTTATAAGGGAATGATACAGCTCTCAGAATGCAAATTATGTTCTGATACATGCAGAGATTACATTCAGAAGTATTCATACATTACAGGCATCCAACTTGAGATGCTTAAGGCTTCAATTTTCAGAACACTTGGGGTTATACAGGACTCTAAGCTCAGTGTTCAGCTCCCAGTGGCTGAGCACTCAGCACTCGTGCAAATCAGACCACAAGGTCTCAAGACAAAAACCCAGGATGCAAGCGGAAAACAAAGCACCTGAGGAGTTTGGTTTAAGTGACTCGCTTTGTGTGAAAAAAGGTTTCCATAGTTGAGAGCAGAGATAAATTCAGCCACCCAGTACCACCTTCACAACAAAAGCAATTCTGTATTCTTGCTGTTACATGCCTCATTCTTCCCATGTCTTCTGTTTTCTACAAATCAAGTTTCTATTCTATAGCTACCAGAAACCCCCCAGATGTCTGTACTTTCTGTTGCAACTGAAGTGCCCCTATAAAAAAATAGGTATACATCCCTGCAGTTCAAAACTGCAAATACACAAAAGGATCACACTAATATTGCACAGGAGGGCTTTAATAACAGCTTTTCCGAATTCCTGAGTGTTTCTTCCTGGAAAAATTTACAACATTTTCTGAACATTATGTGTGTAAATTTATATCTATATGCCTTCAAGGTTTTAAAAAAAATATTATTTAACAATATTCCATTATGTGACATCGTATTAACTCCTCCTTGGGTTGCTATGTGAGGCTTAACTTTTAGATCCATTATGAACACCTCTCCTCTGAGTTAGCAGAGAAACTGCCTGCAGCCATGGGTTGTTGTCCTTTGCACAAAGGGACAAGAGGCAGGGGAAGGTGTCATGCACACTGGCGGACATTCATTAACGGAGGAGTGGTTAGGGCCTGAAGCATCAGGTTCACAGTGAACCTCAGGGTCCATCTCCCTCCCAAGGCACCTCATCTAACGTGTTTCATGACCTGATCTGCCACTCATCCTCTCCTATCTCATGTCCTGAACACCACCCCCATAGTCCTGCTGTGCCTGCCCACTCTTACCCCTCCACAGCCAGTGATTCTTTGGCCAGCCACATTCAGCACCCCCAGCTCTGCTGGTCTCATGCTCAGCATCACAACCCTCACTGCATCTGGCATGAAGCAGGAATTTTCCACACAGAGTAAATCAATAAGAAGAGATAGTGTTGGGTTTTTTTTATTTTATAGTCCATATGATGCACTACTTAAAAATCACTTGGAGGTTTTCGCCTAAAAGACTCCTTCTGCTTGCAGGACCCAGGACACTGGTGCTAACCTTTGCTGATTTCTCCCCATGACGCGCTGTATACTTTCTTGGTTTTGGTCCTTTACACTGAGGATTGTATACTGTGTGATGCGAGGAAGCATTTGGAGTCTTACAGAATCAAAGATTCACAGAACGATTTGCATTGGAAGGGACCTTTAAAGGTCATCTAGCCCCAAACCCTGCAATGCCCAGGGACATCTTCAACTAGATCAGCTTGCTCAGACCCCCGTCCAAGCTGACTTTGAACGTTTCCAGGGATGGGACATCTACCACCTCTCTGGGCAACCTGTTAAACCTTATAAATTGTGTGGAGAGAGTACTCCCTAAATCTTGCAGGTTAAATGTCTATTAAATTATTTTCTAGCCCAGGAGGTTCCTTTCAGATCCCCTTTCTTAATGCCAGCCTCTCTCTACTATAGTGATATTTCTGTACCTCATTTGACTCTACAGGTCATCTTGAAACTGATGCAGAGATACCTGTCATATACCAGTGAAATACAACCACTTCTAGAGTTAAGTAATTGTTATTAGATGGACACAATGCCACAAAAATAAAGAGTTAAGGAAAAATGTGAAAGATGGCTTCTTAAACTGAAACTTAAGAAAGAAAAGGGAAATTCCTAAGTTTTGCCTATTACAAGGATTGGGGGATAAATTTAGCTTTAATGAATAAACTATCTCAAGTGTATATTTAATCTGACAGTGTCTTGGCATTAGGGGAGATGAATGTTGGCTCAGGGATACTTCAAGGGAAAGGCAGCAAATACTGAGTCATCAGACCATCTTCCTGTAATACCTGGCTGTGCCTCTGAGGCATCGATACTTACAGAGACCTACTTAGTCATATTTGTGAAAGATGACAAGGAAAGTGGCATAGATCAATATCATGGCACAGCAACAACTCGGGACTTACCAGGAAGGATATTCAAGGAGTAATTTTGGATGCCTAAATATCTCGCACGTGTTTTGAAACTGCAAGAGTGTTTGTACAGCATCTGCTTGAATACTGCGTGAAGTATCCTATATAGCTTTTCTTCTGCTTTTTTTTTTCTTTAAGAAACTGCCTCCTGGCTTCTCAAGTGTACACACTACCTATATGTCATATTATTTAATGAAATAAATTAAAGCAAGAAAGCAGAGATTTCCACCTTATATTCCCCCTATTTAAGTCTATTATTTTCATCTCTCACTGTTCATTAATAAATTTATGTTCAGCTTTGGGCCAAGTTTGTGCAATCTTAGCTATATGACTCATCATTCAGAAGGCTTTTGAAGTCCCATATTAGAAGCAGGAGAGCAGAAAAAGAACCCAACTTTCACAAGTGTCCTGTCATCATCTTTAAACAATTTAAACATCCTGAAAATCTTGTTTGTGATACCAAGCTCTATCAAGAATGGAAAAGCATGCACAGGGAAACGGATCACAGTAGAGCACCAGAGCTGCATGACAGTTGTGTTACATCATCGTTAGAACTAAAATTTAGCTGTTTTTTTTCTCCTTTGCAAATGTTTGTGTAAGTTTTAAATGAACTAATATGGGAAGATTAGGAATCAGCTCTGTACTTTTACATCCCCTGGGAATTTTGCACTGATTTAATTAAGCCACAATATATTCAAGCGCTGAAAATAGCACATCCACTTAGTGCCAGGACAAATTGTTCACAAAAATGGATGTAAATTACTAATTAACACAAAAACTATTAGAAGTAATTATTGTATTTCAACTAATTAGGACATCTGGAGTTAATGCAGTTGCTCCCCCTCTCTCTCTCTCTCTCTCTCTCCCCTAAGCTCTGAGGACTCAGAATTTTACCTATGAGCAAGTGAAATTCCAGATTTATTTCACAATCACCTTCCTTATAGTCCTGTATCTGAAGGACCGTAGATAGAGAACATGAGCCACTACCTTTATCTACTTGGAATGACAATTGCATTTGACAGAGATGCTTCATGTCTCACGTGGCAGCTTTTAGAGGATAGGGCATTTTCTTTGGTAGAAGGCTCTCAGACCAAATTCTATATCACTCAGATTTTGAAGTAAAACTCATTTCCTTATTTGGACTTATAATCTGCAATGGCTGTGCTTATGCTGCTGTTGAAGAAATGACTGCTGCTTATGTAGTCATTAAATGCTAGTATTAAACTAGGTAGCCCAGGTGCAATGACAGTGGAAGCATTAGAAGCATCGAACTGCTTTTGTCTTTGTCCAGCTTCTATTGCAGCCCTCACTGAGCTCCTTGGCTTTAGGTACCTGCACCAAAAGCCTGCTCAGTTGTGTCTGCAAAACTAGTCTCATATTTGACTGCAGTATGCATGTGCTTCAAGCCATGGCCCTACATGTAACACATTTATTTACTTACTTTCCCATTCCTGCAATATGCTAAATTTTGAGTGGGAGAACACAACATATGCAGCATAGGATGGCAAAGTGAATGCTTCTGCATAATTTCTCTTGTCAGGAAAACCTTCAGGCACAGCTTTCATGGCACAGAAGACAGATTACAGACTTTTTCTTGAGATCAAACCAAGGACCCTAGAGCTGGGCAGCTTAAGTCAAGATCCCTACCAGAGTATGACAGAATAACATGGGGACAATTTGCACCCACTTATGCCAGGTCAATTTTGTGCAGACAGTTTACAGACGTAAGCTGTTGTATCGACTTGATTTTCTCTTTACTTCAATTTTTTATATTCCAACAGGATCATCTGCACTAGCAAAGCTGATTTCCAGGGAAGTCTTAAGGAAAATACAATGGATACTACATATACTTTTCTTGAAGTATTTAGTTACTTTTCCAGTTAAACTGGATTTAGCTTAATCTAAACCAGAAGCTTTGTCAATCAGAGTACATAAAAGCATGACTCAATACATTTCTTTTGCCAAAGCCACAGTGCCTAATTCTCACTCTAATGTGGGACACCAACCACCATATCCACGAGCTTAAATGTGGCTGAAGGTGAAGGTATGGACTTGGAAGCCCATGAAGGTTCTCTGTAAACACGGAGCCCAATTCACTACTCAGAGCCAGGGTAGGAATCTCTCTGCATTGTGTTGAACACTGTAATTCAGGACCCTAATGAAGATATGCATTAAACAGACTTCTTATTTGAAGCCAGCAGTAAAAATTTACTGCTGTAAGGGGTGGACTGTGCTTATAAAGGGTTTCAGAAGCAGGGAGGCAGTCTATGTCCTTCCTTGGGAGAGGTGCCTTTGGACTCCCTTTTTCTTAGTGAAGACAGCCCGGAGCTGGAACTGGTAGGGGTCTTTGCTGCCCGGACCATTGACTCCTCTAGGGCTTCTGAGGACAGCTGGCAAAGCTTCTGGGGAGCATGTGTTAAATATAGCTGGAAGATCCTCAGACTATAGCTCAGCAAGCACTTAAAGCTGGTGTAACCCCGCACTGCTGCAGAAAGAATCCATGCACTTTACCCCTTCCTCTGGTTGCTTGTTCCCATTTCCCCTCTCACATCTTCTCCCTTCTGCTGGAATAAGTGAAACAGGTCAGAGAGCTGACCTACAGTCAAGTTACACCAGAAAAGAGAACAGTTGCTTCTCAGCTGGATATGTTTTGGTTTGGTAGTCTACCAAGTGGCTGAACTGACACTGGTGCTGGTGCAAGCAAAGGAACTGCACAGGGACTGAGGCAGCAGCTGAGCAAATGGAGGATTATTGCTTACACTGCCTTGAGGTATTCACTGAATTCAGTCTGAGGGTGAAGCTAGACAAGAGGCTGAACTGACAAGTTTGTAGCTAGCAACAAGGGAAATCTTGCATCTCCTCCTTTCCCCCTCACCTCCGCACTGCTGTTCATGACTACGCAGTCCCAATCCCCACATTGTGCTGGCCCTGGCACCCATTGGGAACCTCACAGACTGGATTCAGCTCACCAATCTAGCAAAAGCTTCTCCATTTTCTGCTAGGTTGGTTTCTGACAACTTAGGAGTGGAACTGGCTTACTGCTGCCAGAATTGGTGGAGAGTGTTTGGAGAAGTTTCCAGGCAGGGAGAAGAACAGTGAGAATAGGGAGGCATGCATGCCACCCTCTTCTGCTGGTGCTGAGCTGAGAGGTTGATTCCAGACAATTTATGTACTTTCACTCTTCGGACTTCTGGATTTGGCTCAGTCTACTCCTACTTCACTAGGAACCTTACGTTAGTAAGGATAGAAGGTGCTCTAACATCTTGATCTTCCCAAGTAGTGAGTATTTGCACCTACTATAACTTGAGTTCTTAAATACATGCTTAAAGTTAAATCAGAATTAAATTCAGTTAAATCTGAGGATAAAGTGTGTTGTTGAGGTGTTTCTTCCTTAAATTACAAGTTTTCTACCTCTACTTTAAAACAACTTTAGTATAGTCTAAAATGTTCATTTACATCTGAAAAGATATAGAAACAGTCAACATCTGTTGTGTTTCATTTGAAAACTAAGGCAGAGCTTCCACCACTGAACAGCCATGCTGAACCTGAGGGGCAAGAGATTTTGTGGTGTTGCACTTCAGACTCAGATTTTCTATGTAATTTCACAGATGCTTACCCTTGCTTGCTTCCAGTGTCTTACGTATAAAATGGAAAACATGAAGCAGAAAGGTGAGTCATCATCAATATATGGAAGTATATACATTGCTGCCCAGTTCTCCAACCACAGGTAATAGATGAAAGTGTTATTATTTACATCAATCCATTTTCAATTACTTATAGTCTGCTTGTGAAGCTTAACTAATGTGAGTATAAGGAACCCTGGGTGCAATTTTTGTTCACTTGTTCTTTTAAGACATGACAAAGAACTACAGGATTCCAGGCTTGCCTAGAAAAGATGAAGATTTTTAAGTATTTGTTTAATTAGTTTTCCCCAGTAGACATTTATTTCAGTCTTTTGTGAGGAAAAAACCCCAAAACTTTAGCCTCTTAAGATCCATTACTGGCAACACAACTGAAATGTTCTAAATACCGATGCTGCCAGGTAAAGACTTAATATTCATCCATCCAGGAGAGACTGTGGGGGAGGAAAAGGGATATTTTCTGTTGGCAGTTTCCTTCACAGCTTTGAAAGTTTTTTTGTTCCTGGCTATGTTGAGAACATGGGAAAAAAATCTGTGGAGCTTCAAGTTACAAGCATCAGAGACAATCTACAACAATTTAGGGTCAAGGCTGCAAATACAGGTCTTGGCAAAGTTAGATGTAAGTGAGAAGGAGATTTCTTTGGAACCCTTGGGTCAGAGGACCAAAGGAATTTCTACAATCTTTGCTTCTTCCTGTGTGAGAGGAAGATGTAGCTAAATATAACCTGACCATTACAAATTTTTTTTAAATGGTCATTGATTCTGCTTGTCTCTTGCAAAGAGAACAACAATTTGTATTTATTTTGTTTACTTATGCATAGTCTAATTGTAGATGTTCCCATGACCCACCTAGGTATCTCATTCTTTGAAGAATCTTACTAAGACCTTGTAACACAGTCATACTTTTGGTAGCACTTTCTCTAGGTTACCCATTCTTGATTGATAGCATCCAAAATCTCAGAAATGCCACTCCGTAGTCTTAAATTCACAAAAAGACATGGAGATCTCTAAAGTTTCTACAGAAATACCAGCTGGTGTTCTGAAGCCAATAAAATTTTGCTTTATAACGTGACAGGTTTTAAAATGAATTGTAAAAAATAATAGATAATAAATGAGACTTACCACGACTATATAACGAGGCCTAAACTGGATGGTTCCAAACAAACCCAAAATGACAACTATTATTTGTAGGAAATTGCCAAGGATAGGAGCCCACTGGAAACCAAGGAAGTCAAAGATCTGTCTCTCTAATGCTGCCAGCTGTAAGAAAACACATAAACAGAACATCCACTTTTTAATTATGGGTGAGACAGGACAGTTGACATTTTTTTATTTGCACCAGGCTTCACCAGATAGAAGTATGGCAAACTTCTAAAACTACGGTTCCTGGTGTAGCCTTTGTCAGCATTACCTGTACACTGGTATCTGAAGATAGCTACTGGTCAGCATACAGTTCTCCTAATCAAAAAACACTTGGAAAAAACTTTAAATTAAGAAAATACTTGTAAAACTCCACATAATACAAAAATAGCTCTACAAACCAAACACAGACAAGTTTTATTATATTCTTGTATGCTCTAAACTCTAAGGCTTGGCAATTTTTATTTAAATACAAAATTTGTCTTGAACAGAGGCTCACCTAGACTGAGCAAAGCCATGCGAATCTTGCTATTGTTACTGAAGTACCATCATGCTCCCTCCCTTCCCCATGTCTTTGTTTTCTTATATTTAGTCTTAACTAGACTTGACTGCAAGTTCCTCAATCTGTTCCTAAAGGAGAGAGATTTGGGCCAAAAGGGACAGAGCAGGCTGTCAGGAGACACAAATGTGGCTATTGGGTACCTTCCCAGGAATTCCCTGATGCAGGAGCTAAGGAAGATTGCTGGGACCTCCTCACTGCCTGAAGCACAGAGGCAGGCTCATGGGCTGAAAGGCTGTGGAAAACGTGGGAAGGCTTTGGACTAAGCTGCTTCAAAACCAACAGCTGAATGAGCTATCTGCCCTCTGCCAGAAGCTGCTAGGTTACTTTGGGCAAGTGCAAATCAGAAAGACATGGTGGCAGCCTAATGGCTCTCTTCTGCTGTCCTCAAGGCATTTCAGGGGTGGATTTAGTTGGGGGTGGAAATGGAGGAAGCCAAGAAGCATAAACCTTCATCTTTGCATCAGCATGTAGTTCCTGGGTAATCCTGCATTTCTGAATGTTAAGCAAAAAAGAAAAAAAAAAGAGCACATTTTCTACTCATTTTTTACAATCCACTCTTGTTCTAAAGATATTAAAATCAACTTTCTCAGTAGCACACTTGTTGAATTTTAAACTTGGTTCAATATTTTTCTATCCATAGCAAGACATTTTTGAGCAGCTAAACAGAATCCTACTGAGAAACAGTTGAGTTTCTGTGCTTGCCAGAATTTATTACACATCTACTTGATTTTACTACATTGTTACCAACCCTAAAATTTACTGAAATACGCACTTAAAATATTTATAACTGAGACAGATGGAGTAAGCATGGCCCTATGAATACTAACCAAAGTATTATCATCTGTAGGTATTTCACATAAAACTTCTCATTTTACACATAATGGCCAGACTCAATCCTCACCTACAAGACAGGGCTAGGTGTCACTGAGAGTAGAATCCATCTTTTCTGTACAAAAATCATCCCTTATATGAGTCAAGAAAACCACATTCTCTATGCGGAGGTTAATAAATATGATAAATCTAAACAACTAAATGAACAAATCATCAACTCAGTGCAGCTCCTCTGCAATCAGTGAAGCTGCATTCACTTTTATCAGCTAAACATCTGCCCCACTATATATAAATGAAAAATTGTCACACAACAGACAATATTAAAATGATATTATCCTCTTGGAAGTGTAAGACATTCCTATCTCAACAGAAATGATCTTATTCTTTTCATTCTGTAGGTAAGGGAGAATCTCAGAGAGAGCAGCACTCCCATGTGAATGAAACTGTTGGCTCATGTGGCGTTAGCTATCTACTTTGCTTTTGCACACTCCTCCTTTCTTCTTTTAATTCATTGTCCTATACCATCGGGATCAATAATTAGTTTTCTTTCCTAGATTTGGAAAAGAATTACAGAAATTAATGACCAAATCCAGAAAATTACATATTTTCGTGGACCTCAGATGGAACTTCCAGTACCTAACGGTGCAGTTGTCACCTTCCTGGAAGTATGTGGGCGTCCTAACTGGTTCACAACAATAGTGACCCTGATGTCATTCCTGTAACATCTTCACATTGTAGTAGTTTCATGAGCATCACAATAATGGCCTAGTTGGGACACCTCAGAATCACTTGCTTTTTCAACCACTCTCTACTGCGCTCCCTCAGGCGATTCAGGTGACCTCACATTTGGGAATACCCCTGGCTGAAGCTTCCCTAAAACACAGGATACATCACACAGTAGAGTACAAGAGTGCCCCATGTCCCACGTGTGAGATGGTAGAGTTTCAAAAACTCTTTGGCACAAGTAGAACTCGCAGTTTATGGTATGAGTGACAATGTACCAAGACTCCTGTCCTGTATCACACAGTAAGACATTTATGACATCCATGACCGGAGCCAGAGCCTGTTTCATTCCCACCATCACAAGTTGAGATCTTCCAGGGTCAGCAAGGCACCTAAACAATTCACAGACAACCACTGAACTAGTTACTGCATCAGGGGACAAGGGACAAGCAATGGGTGTGATCTATCTGGATTGCTGTAAAGCCTTCAACGCGGTCCCCCACAGCATGCTTCTCTCTAAATTGAGGAGATACGGATTTGATGGGTGGACTGTTTGGTGGCTAAGGAATTGGTTGGAAGGTCGCAGCCAGAGGGTAGCGGTCAATGGCTCGATGTCCAAGTGGATGCCAGTGACAAGAGGTTTCCCTCAGGGGTCCGTACTAGGACCAGTGCTGGTTAATATCTTCATCAATGACACAGACAGAGATCAAGTGCACCCTCAGCAAGTTTGCAGATGACACCAAGCTGAGTGGTGCAGTTGACACACCAGAAGGACCGAATGCCATCCAGAGGGACCTGGACAAGCTGGAGAGGTGGGTCCATGTGAAGCTCATGACGTTCAACAAGGACAAGTGCAGGGTCCTGCACCTGGTTCGGGGCAACCCCCGGTATCAATACAGGCTGGGAGATGAAGGGATTGAGAGCAGCCCTGCCGAGAAGGACTTGGGGGTACTGGTGGAGTGGGTCCAGAGGAGGCCACAAAAATGATCTGAGGGCTGGATCACTACTCCTATGAGGAAAGGCTGAGAGAGTTGGGGTTGTTCAGCCTGGAGAAGAGAAGGGTCCGGGGCGACCTTATTGCGGCCTTTCAGTACCTGAAGGAGGCCTGTAGGAAGGATGGGGAAAATATTTTTAGCAAGGCCGGTTGTGACAGAACAAGGAGCAATGATTTTAAAATAAGGGAGGGTAGATTTAGACTGGATATAAGGAAGAAATTTTTTACCATGAGGGTGGTGAAACACTGGAACAGGTTGCCCAGAGAGGCAGTGGAGGCCCCATCCCTGGAAACATTCAAGGCCAGGTTGGACGGGGCTATGAGCAACCTGATCTAGTGGAAGCTGTCCCTTCTCATTGCAGGGGGGTTGGGCTGGATGACCTCTAAATGTCCCTTCCAACCCAAAGCATTCTATAATTCAGTGATTCTGTGAAACAAAGAGAAATAAGGTTCCATTTCCTCTCCTGCTGCCTACCAAGGTGTCCATTCCCCTCCTCCCACCTCCTGTCCACGAGGATACCAAGGGGGAGAGCTTCTCCTTGAAGCTGTGTCACCAGCCAAAACATAAAAATCTGTATTTAGTGAGTGAAACAGAGAGCACAAGCAGAAACATGAGTCTACAGCCTACTGCTTATGGCACTTATCCAGGATTGTATTTCTTGCCTGCAGGGCTCTTTCCTTATTTTTATATACTGTGACAGCATGTAAACCACCAAAAGAGTCCTGGGAGCAGGACGCCAAACATACAGCACCATTCCTTCCCCACTAACAAGTGCTTTCACCGGCAGGCTATGCAGTGAGACTTTCCTGTGCAGCTAAGTCTCATTTATTTTGGTGTTGTCACCAACACCGAGTAATTTGTCTCATCCCTAAAGCCCACAGAATATATTAGTGGGGGAGAAAAATCTAGAGAAAAGAAAGAGGTAGGAGGCATGCCTATCCTGCTCAAATTAATACTCTCTTCTAAATTAGACAATATTCTTACAACAGCACAGATAGATAGAAGTTAAAAAAATAATAATTTGTGACAATGGCAGCAGAAACAGAGTAAGTTCTGGTTTCTTTATACCATGAGCAATATACACTATTCTTTGTATTCTATTATAATATATTATATTCTTTCTATTTTTATTGCAAATAAAACAGGAGGGTTTCAGTTTTTGCAAATTATTAAAAGTTGGGGGTCTGTTTTTAGTGAAATCTGTTTCCAGTTGTGTGAAAAATTTTCATAAGAACTTATAAAAATCTATCAAAGATAATAGGAAATAACATTTTCTTATCATAAAAACATTTGGAAAAGGAGACATAATATTTCTTATTACTGCCGCCAGGGGAGAGCTTTGTTATTTAGTCATCATCAGCACCGACAATCTTGTAATGTAAAGTGCACAACTCAGGAGACTAGAACTAGCAGTAAAATGCTCTAGTGGGACTGTACCAGATCACTTAATGAATATGTGACACATTTGTCTTGTTCTTTTACCTCTTTTTTTCACCAAGTTTATCAAACATTCCCTGTGTCCCTCTTTCTGCAGAGCGCAAGGAGAAGGTACTAAACTGCAAGACTGAGCTGCAATAAAGTCGCACAGGCTGAACTTTCTCTTCTGGCCATGCCCAAGCATTTTTTTGTTAAGGTGAGCTGAATATTTGAATTTTGAGCTTCTCCACCTAGACAGATCAGCCAGATATGCAGCACATTTGGAACATTCTGAACAGATGAAATAGGGCAGTTGTAGCCTCAAAGCCTCATATGCGCTTATGTGAAGTAGTAAAAAATATCAGCAATATCAGCAATGCAGCATAGGATCCATAGAAAGAAACCACCAAGACGTTCCTAGCCAATAGAGAGATCAAAAAATATTTTTGAGAGCAGGGTCCGACAAATATCCTCTATGGAGTAAACCCCTCCTCTAAACGCTCAGGTCCTATTATACTTCAAAATACGTATCAGAAGCTGAGTGATGAGCCACAACAGCAGAGTCAGGAAGTCAGCTTTTCAAAATGAGT